GTAAAGACGAAATAAAAATTCTCGATGGCGTCTGGTGCAGTTGATCAACAACTTTGTAATCACTCTTTTTAATGATCTTCAAGAATTCAACATCTTCATTTGATTGAACCACATTTTCCTACCTAGTAGGGAGTGCAGCTGTAGTTTCTCTTGGTGGTATTTGAGAGATCACATTAAACTAGGGAGTGTAAATTCGACCACAGCGGGTCATTTTGCTTGTCCCTGCGATGTTTGTGACATTGTTACCATCTACTTTCAAACTTTTCTCTTGTCCAAATTCTTCAGATTCTTTGTCAATGACAGTAATATCCTACTTCCAAGGAACTGCCTTGGTGCTTTCGTAGGGGAAAGGACTAGGCACGCAAATAACCACGGGTATTGGGTGATTAACTTATTGGACATTATCTTTACTTTGATAGGTTATCTCAATTAGCTCTGGTAAATTGAAAATCGGCTCAATTACTTCCACTTCACCTCTTTTCATGCGGCTGCTAACTTGCAACAACCCTTAGTCTATCAGGTCTTGGACATCTATTTGTACCATCTCACATCCTCTTGGATGGATGACACATTCTACACAATGCTCATGACAAACCTTAACTAATCCAGCTTCCACGAGCCTTGCATGGAATGCTAGCAAAGGAGTCTTGACATTTGTAACATCTCTAATCAAAACACCATTAGACTCTTCATCAAACACGTTAACAATAGCTTCATGTGCGGGCAGAGGATTACTCTTGGTGTTTGGCCCCAAGTCTCTGAACGACAAATTCTTTTTTTCTACCAGTTTTCTCACTATGTGCTTCAAAGCTTACATCCTTCTAAATCATGCCCAGGTGCACCCTCATGGAAAGAGCAATGAGCATTTAGGTTATACCAAGGAGGTAGAGAATCAAGTGGTAGGCCAAAAGGTCTAGGAACCACTTACCCCTTTTGCGACAGAGAAGGATATAACTCAGTATATATCATTCAAATCAGAGTGAAAAGAGGTTTAACATCCTGTCTTCTATTTTGAGATGGTGCATTTTGATGAGGAGCTTGAGCTCTTGGTTGCTGATATGTTAGGGTTGCGGGAGCTTGTTGATATGCAGGAGCAGCCTGAGCGGGTTGATAAACTGGTGTTTGTTGAACTGGTTGGTACACATGTACTTGTTGTTGGTTGAAAGATGGCGCAATGGCCGCCAAATACACTTGTTGAACATACTGCACAAGGCATGTTGGTTGTTGCTGTTGTTTTCTCCATGATTGAATCCTTCCTCGACTGGACGAAACAACATTCGTCTCGCCTTCCTTCTTTTTCTGAAAATTTTCGAGAAACTTCTTATTATTGCTATTGGTAAAAGTTCCCGCAGCACTGATCGTTTTTCCATTCTTCAGACCAAGCTTGACTTTTATACCTATAGCGGCCAAGTCAGAAAAGCTATCTAACACACTACCAACCATTCTCTCTTAAAACATTGGTTGTACGGTATCCATGAACCAATCGGCTAACTCTTTCTCCGCCAAAGGTGGCTCAACTTGATAAGCTATCTCCTTCCAATGTTGGACATACTCTTTGAATGACTTGTTGTCTTTTTGAGACATGTCTAGCAATTGTCTCTTATCGGGAGGCATATCCATATTGTACTTGTAATACTTTATGAAAGCATCAGACAAGTCTTGAAAGCAACGGATGCGACTTTGGTCAAGACTTATGTACCACGTAGAGAGGGCATCCTTTAGAGTGTCTTAAAAGCAGTGGATCATGAGCTTATCATCTTCAACATGGGCAGCCTTTACAGTAGTACATGACAAGATGACTCTTTGTACATGTGCGGCCTCCGTATCTATCAAAGTCGAGAATCTTGAATTTTACAAAAATTACAAGACCGAATACGAGACACGTCTCCCTAGCGACAACACCAAAAACTTAGTCACCTTCCATTGCCCTCAATCTCTTCTCAATGAAAATTCTATTTATTTCCCCTTATATCTTCACGTCTTTCTTCTTCCTTATTAGAAATTTTTGAAGCATGTTGTGGATCTTTAGACCCTTATCTCTGCTCTCCCTCCATAAGCGACACAAACCGTCCTCATTCTTTTTTTTTCAAGTAACCATACTCGCCTCCGTTCACCCTGTTCCTTGCAAAACACCACACCCTTCGTCGCCACCTTCACCGTCAATGACTCAACCACTCTCTTTCTCAAACCTTTCCGCCTGTAGCATCATAACCACCTCAACTCTGGCCATAACTCAACTCTGCTCCACTCTGGCACCACCTTGTTTTTCTTCATCTCCTTCATTTCTCCCTACCCTCAACGTAACTCAAACAACAGCGTAAACTTCACCCACTATCCCACCACAACACCCCCACAAAACCCCTTCCGAACCGAACTTCCACCCACAACCATCGCCTCCATCAATCTCATTTCAGTCCACCGCCTACCACCAATAACCACGGCCAGTACCTTTGTGAGAGACACACCACATACTCACCCAAAACCTTAAGGTGATAGGTGTGTGGGTTCTCTCATTTATAAATGCTCAAGTCACCACATTTCTATCCAATGTGGGACTATTATCCACACTACTCACACTTGTTAATACTTTAACTTTAACACTCTCCCTCAAGTGTGAGTCTATCCACAATGCTCTCCCTTAAGCGGAAACTTCAACTGTGCAACTGCACCCTTGTACCGCCGTTGACACTCTTCAACGAGACACTCAACCCACAACCTGTGGGGATACTTTCGATACAAGTAATTCGTTCCCTTTCCCTTTATTCGAACCAGGCTCTGATACCACTGTTGGACTTTCAACTAGGGAGCATTGAACATAGTGGGACTTTTTCTAGAGCAACCTTTGTGAGAGACACACCACATACTCACCCAAAACCTTAAGGTGATAGGTGTGTGGGTTCTCTCATTTATAAATGCTCAAGTCACCACATTTCTATCCAATGTGGGACTATTATCCACACTACTCACACTTGTTAATACTTTAACTTTAACAGTTTTAAGCATTGTATCAACTTTGCATAATGTAAATTTATTGTGGTTGTCGTTGTTGTTCTATTTTGTGCATTATCTTGTAATTCGCACGCGTTAAGTTTTAGTGTTCATTTCTTCGAGTTGGTTTTTGTACATATTTTGATTCATTTTGTATTGATCACTTACAGCGTAGCAAGTTAATGACTGATTTTTATTAGTTTATCTGCGACATTTTAGTTGGTTATTGTTGCGTTTTGATTTTGTATGCGCTTCCGATGGTTTAGCATAGCGACAATCTGTACTTTTACTTCTTAACAATTCGCGCTTTTGACACGCATCTTGTGCTTTCATAATTTTAATAATTTGTTGCATTTTCGATTTATTTGCAATGAGAGCCTCATGCGTTAGCAATTTACCTTTTGATTCGTGTTAAGATACAACAATCCAATGTTGTTATATTTAAATCGAATTTGAGTCCTACCTTATGTAGCTTTGCACGTCTCACGTAATCGCGTCATGATTTTGATCTGTGCACGTTTCATTTTGCATTATTCTTTCGAATTAATTACGATGAATGTGTGCTCTAAATATTTTGTGTGCGCTTATCTCTTTTATTTTATCGTATTTGCCTTGTATATTGCTCAATTCGATTTACTTGTGGCGTTAGTTACGCCTCGTGCTAGAGTTTGCGTCTCACGCTAGAATTTGCACCCTTTGTGATGCGATTCGCAACCTCGTGTTACTATTCTCACCTTCTATTTATTCTTCAAACCATTTTCATAACCAAGTCAAACCATTTCACAAATCATTTTTCCACTAACACAATAAATCCTTGATCAACATTGAGTTTTTCTTTTTCGGTTGTCCGAAGCATTGAAAAGTTTTTCTCAATAAAATCGATTGAAAAAGGAATGAGGCAGAAGAAATTTCTTCTCTTTTCCCAATATATTCTAGGGCTAGCCGCACTTGACTTTCTTCTCTTTTCCCTATATATATTATTTTTATTCCGTACTTTCCATAGTGATCACCCCTTCAATCTGCACATACAGAAAATGTTGGGAGAAGGAAATATGTTAAGATTTAATTTTTCTTCAAGTCCTTGTATCAATCAATGACACAGGTACATTATTCAAGTTAAACGGCATGTTTAATTTGTTTTGCAGGAAATAAACCTTGGATCAGAACAGTCAAAAAAGGATTTCAAACTTAAGTTTCATTTATCTGGCATGCCAAACCATTTTATTTAGGGGCTAATTGGGATACTGCAATAAGCAGAGAGTCCATTAGTGACATAATTCATTCCTGAGTGGTACATACTTAATAAATTTGAAACATATGGAGAAGATCGATTAACATCATGGCAACTGGGGCTGATCGATTAACATCCCAACATCTGGCAACCTTTTGAGTTATAGGCCAGCTTCAAGCAGCCCAACCAATGGGTTGGCTACTGACAACCCTCAAACTGACTACTGTCCAGGGTAATCGAATTGGGACACAACCTTCCAAGGTCATCGACAGGGTCCTGGCAGTCAAGGGCCAGCTCATAACCGTGCAAGTCTCGGCAGTTGGAATCCTGATATCGTAATAAATTATTTTAATAAATATTTATGTATAGAATGTATATCCATCCGTAAAAGGATTTTAATCAATAGACTAATATATTGTTTTAGTCTATTTCCCTGAGTACAAACAATCAACCAAACTCAAAGCATAAATTACAATTCAGTTATCCAGACTCAAAGCACGTTAGAGAGTAATTTCGTGGTTGTTTGTTGATCAAAGAAAGTCTCGTTGATATCATCTTTCTCAAACACAGATTGGAGGCTTGCAGCTTGTGAAAAAAACATAACTATCATGTAACAGATATACAACAGATTCATATCACAGTAAATTGTTGCTTCCTATGAGATTGATGAACACGATGGTGACTATAATAATGAAAAGTTTAATATGCTGGGAGACTTTGATATAAGTTTGTGAAACATTGTGCCTGCTCTCACAATTCCTTATGCTCAATAGAGTTGAAATCAATGCTTGTGGCTGCTTCTTCTTCGGTTATGAAGTTTTTCATAATAATCAGAACTCTTTTCACTTCTATGATATGAATGCTTTTTGCTGCTCTGTTTGCTCATATCATGCTCAGGATGTTCAGAACCCTCATGTGTACCGTGATGTTTTTCTTTGATCCTTCTACTTCGACCATCCTTTTCAACATCAAAATCATCGGAAGAATAAGAATGTCCGGCTCTGCTCTTCTGACTTCTATGTTTTTCTTTCATCTTTCTACTTCGACCATCTTTTTCAACATCGGAAGAATAAGAATGTTCGGCTCTGCTCTTCTGACTTCTGTGTTTTTCTTTGACCCTTCTACTTCGACCATCTTTTTCAACGTCAGAATCATTGGAAGAATAAGAATGGTTGGCTCTGCTCTTTTGACTTCCATGTTTTTCTTTGATCCTTGTACTTCGACCATCCTTTTCAACATCAGATTCATGGGAAGAATAAGGCTCAGCTCTGCTCTTTTCAACACCAGAACCATTGGAAGAACAAGAATGATCAATCCTACTCTTCTGACTTCCACCACGGTACCGATCATGACTAAAACTTACGTGATGCCTCTGAGAATCGGAATGGATTGTTGATGAGTACTTGTGGTTTCTCCTTTTATCCTCTGGTTGTCGTTGATGATTATGATCATCTGGTTTATAAGAATGCTCATCGCTACCCTTGTGTTTTACATGATAATCCGCAGGACCAGAATCCTTCTCATCAGAATAAGAATGTCTTTTTCTGCTATGTTTCCTCTGGTGCTTTTGTATATTCTTTCTACCCCGATCATCTCTTTCACTGTCAGAATCTTCAGATGAATACGAATGCTTATCCCTATTCTTATAATTTCCATCATAACCATCAGAGCCAGACTCGGACGAAAAGGAATGCCTTCGCTTGCCATGTTTCCTCCTACCGGGCCTAGAACAGTCATAACCTCCGGGTGAAAGTGAATGTTCTCGTCGTTTAGTCCTTCTACTTCGATCATTTCTGTCACTGTCAGAATCATCTAAATGCTTGTGTCTGTTCTTTCCATGGTCTTTTTCAGAGGCAGAAGAGCCTGATGAACTTGACTCTTTATAATCTCGCTTCTTTTTGTTTTCCTTAACTTTTTTTTTCTTAGATCTACTCTCTCCGTCATCAGAAGATGCTTCACTATCTGAATGCACTAGCTTCAGCTTTTTGTGTTTTTTCTTTTTGGACTTCTTTGGTTTTTTAGATAAGTTGGTCAATAATAAATCAGGGATATCACCCATATTGAGAAAACCTGTAAAATCGGGAGTAGTTATGGTTGATTTGGACAAACATCTAAGGCGTCAATGACAAGGCATACAAATCACTTAAAAAATAAGAGCTGGTAGCAGATACCTCCATATTCATCAAAAATGTCCTCATCCTCAGCAACTATCTGCTGGTTGGGATCATCTGGTTTAAACCCTCCACGAGGGGGACTGATTCCTGGCTTCTGCTTGAGCTCCCATTTTAGAGGCTGTCATTCCCAAACAAAACAACAAAATGATTATCGATTATCAATATTAACAACTTTTGGGGGAATGAGTATTATAGATGTTGGCATCTAGACTATATAATTTACACATGAAATCCAGGTAAAATCTCCCTCCACAATAATTTCTGTTTTCAGCTTTACTAAAGTTAAATAAGCCTACCCAAACACTAACTCATCAGAGAATGTGCATTGCCTGTACAGTGTTGAAGCAAAACTACAAAGGGAAAAAAAAATACAAGAAACTATGGGGATATGAAGCGTTTTCACTTGGATTGTACAATAACTGCTAGAAACAGGTGGAAAATAATCAGTTGCTTACTTAAATTCTCTCACACCCAATTACTGATTGCAAGTGAATTAGGGTCCCAGTGATCTTAAGCTAATTACAGATTGAGACTGACATAGAGGAAGACAGGAATAAATGGTATTCTTGGAAATGCAAATATCACTAAATGTGATCAGTTTCTAAACAGATGTAATATTTTCTTATTAGGAAGTCATGGCGTATTAATTGATCAGTTTGTGGACAGAGTAGTCACTTCAAAGTTTAATTGAGTTGAATCATAGAATATTAAATATTTTATTTAAGTGTGATAAACAGCGACCAAGCAACATATATACTCACAGAATTAAACAAGTAAATTTGTCCACAACCAGTAAAAAAACATAAACATTCAATTAAACCAAACTCTATGCAGGCATAAGTGTATCAATCTACAATGTCAAGGACTAAATTGTAAAATTTCTCAAACAATAATTCAATAAAGAGTAGCTGACCTCAGAAAGATCTGTATGGGCAAGAATGGCATTCAAAGGGTCATCTCTTTTCAGTCTGCTTTCCTCATTTGGCATTATAGCCTCCTTCAAGGGACATTCACGATCACCACTTTGGTGACCATAGCTCCCGCATCTTAAACATTTAACATTGCGAATTTCAACTCCGAAAGGTTTTGCCCTTGCAGCAACTCCTGTATCCAGCCTAAAAAATATTCAGTTACTAAAAGTACATTTAAATTCACAATAATTCATGGGGTTTCACAGCAGCAATTTTAACTTCAAGACCACATTGTGATGTCAGAATAGAGAGTGGAGTTCAACTTACCCAAATTCATTAATACAAGGTAAATAATCTATGGTAATCAGGCGAAACTATATCCCTACATTCTATCACCAAAAAAGGGATCTAGGATGGACCTCACGCTACAGATTTCAGTCACTTTCAAAACCTATATTAGACTACCTATCTACTTGTCAATCGTCCATGATAAACAGATATTTTCCTCCCTCCCTTGCTCTATATAAGGGTTTGAAACTGTACTCTGACTGGTAGCTCCTAGTTGGTATGTATGTATGTATGTACTTAGTTAGTTAGAGAGTTAGAGTATGATGTATATAAATTAGAGGAAAGAATTAGACACGGGCTGCTAGTCATTTGAGTCAATTGGGGCATTTGGGCATTTAAGAGGTGCAGACCCTGACGTCTGTAATTCATACTGAAATCAAGGAATTCGCCCATACTTCTTTCTAATAAAGAACTATGTGTCAATATGTATCAAATCGATATTATAATATATAACATGTATCTCTACAGAAAGAAAAACCAAAGGTGAGGGGAAATTTTCCTTCTAATATGCAACACGAGCAACCCAACTAATCAGAAAAGCCACGATAAAAACTTATCCTAGCAAGAAAACAATAACAAAAATACTAATTGGCATACCTTGGTGCATTTTTAAGAACTTCAAATTCTTCTTCAGTTGGTAGAGCACGGCCAAAAACATCTTTTGGCCTCGGTTTTTTCTTCTCTACATGTGATGGCCTAGGAATCAAGTGATTCACAAACAAATTTAATGACAAAAGAAATGAAAACAAGTAACAGAGAAATAAGATTACTGGGGAGAACAAGGCAAAGTGAGGAGGAAGTACAATGAAGAGGAGGGTCCATCAGGATTGGTTTGTGTAGGCTCCTTATTCACCATATCTTCTTTTTTCTTTTCATCATTCATCTCCGCAGCCTTGGCACTTTCGGGATTGTAACCAGGAGGACGAACATACATAAAGCTAACAGCTTGCATGAGCTCCACCTAAACACACAACACAAATATTTAAAAAATTGCAGCCCACAAAGTTGAAACGAATAAGAAAAGGGTGAGGTGCAAAATGAAACCTTTTCCTTGTCCTTCTTGGAAATGAGAGCTGTCTGGCGATAAAACTCTTGCTCCTGAGCATACTGCAAAATGCAATGAGAGGGTTATAGAATTGGAATTTTAATTGAATTGAGTGAAAGGCAAAGAGGAAGCAGGAAAGCTACTTACCTCACGAGCAACCTCTTCAGTTCGGCGTTCACGATGGGCATGGGTCTGTTCAGCAATCCACTTGCGGCGCTGGTTGGGGTAAGAGAGAGGATGCCATGGTTTTTGGTTGAGGAAATTGTGGCTCCACGCAGTTCCGGATTTGGTCTTATAATCAACCTCTCCTCCACCCTTGTCATCGAATCTCTTGCTCAGCCTCAAACCACCTCCTTCCTCACCTTCCATCTTCTCTTTCTCAACACCAGATCACACCACAGTGTCAAACCAACACCCCTCTCAATCAATAACCTTCAAATGAAATCCATCAAGAACAACCATGAATCAATTTTCAGTACAAAAAGTCACACTCTAGCCAAACAGAATAGTCCAACATAATTCATTTTGAGGAAATAATGAGTGGGGATTTTTGTCAAACAAGTGATGTGCAATCAAACGTGAATGAAATAATTGTTCAAAAAATAAAACAGTGGAGAATCACGAATGAATCGAAGAAATGGGGAAAGAAATAACCTTAAATTAATGAAAAATTTCGAAGAGTCCTATCCGTTCGAAAAGAAGGGTTTCCTGTTTTCTTGTCGGACGCACGAGAACTGATTCAAAGGTTGGCATCAATATCGTATCAGCGTTAGGTTTGTTGCTAGTTGCACCTTTTTTATTTACTGTTCTTAGTTTTTATTTTATTTAACAACTATTTGTGTTTTCCTTTTTTTTTTACAGAAATTTGTGTTTTCCTTTAAATATCGCTTTTTGGTTTTTTTCGTATTAAACGTGATAATAAATCGAAATGCAAATTCTATATAATAGTTATTGTAATTTAAATAATAAGAGTACGCTAAGATAAATGTTTTTAATTGAAAAAATAATGGTAGAGATAGAATTGTAGAAAAATAAAGAGGTGTAGAACTAAAGGGTGGGGTACTCCATTTATTAGTGTGGTATCACTTTTGTTTCATACAGATTCAAGATAGAACTTGAACTCAAAATTCTTTACGGAGTCATCCATATAAGTTGGTTTTGTAATCAATGGGGAAAAGGTAAATAAGTATATAACTTATTAAAATTATCAATTTGAAGCCATTTAGTTTTAAAATTTTTAGAATTTTTCAACTATGCTACTATGTATCTTCGAGGATTATAAAAAAAAAAATAGTTGATACTAATGTTTTTTCGTCTCTTATTGTGTGTTTGAGGTTCAATTTGCTCCCTTAATTTTTAAAAAGATCATTATAGTTTTCAACTTTTCAAAATATATTTGGTTAGTCTTTTCCATTCATTCTATTAGTCAAAGTCAATTCAAAAGTTCATGTGGCAGCTAACGTGAATGTCATGTGTTTGAGATCAATTTTGTGAGTGGAAAAATCTGTCACTATTTTTTTTTTCAAGTTTTGATTAGAGTTCTTCATCTTCTTTTCCAATTTTTTGGATTTTGAAATTACAACATTTCAATCATTTTCCTGATGCAAAATCAACATCATCCATAAAAATTAGATAACTCAATTTCAATTCCCTCTTTCTCATTTTCATGTCAAATTCAACAATTGGATTTGTTAAATTTCTGGATTTAAAACTTTAGCTTTTGAGCGTCTGTTAACCTTGAATTTCGACGCCCAGGTGGAAACGTTAAGATTTTAAGTTAAGGCAGTGTTTTTGACTATGGTTATGCTGCGAGGATTTCGACCAGAAGACGGACGATTCGATAGACAATAATCTTTGAAGTTTGAATTCGACTTCTGGAGGAAAATGCAGTTATTTTCCGCCAATAGAATGAGGCACGTGGCACTGTTTCAAGTAATCAAAGCATGCACAGTGACATTTGTTTTAATCTAGTCCATTGAGTCATTAGGAGCAGTTATTTCGACTGGCTATAAATAGTGGCTCAATTTAGGATTTTTGGTGTCTTCATTTTGTACAAGTCACTCAGAAAATTACTCAAAGTATCCAAGTCAAAGTGAGAAAAGAGTTATAACTGAGAATGTACGTAATCAAACACCATCTTTTATTATAATGCATTGAAGTTCTTCTTTTCTTTCATAAGAATCTTCCTTTACTTTACTGCTTTTATGCAAGTTATATTTTCTGGTCTTTATCTTTTGCTTTGAATTGTTATCTTTTTCGCCCCAAATTGCTTTCATTTTCTACTTGCCTTATTGCCAAAACCTTTTAATTATTTTCAATATTGTCGAAGTATTCATCCTTCTCTTTTAGATTTCATTTGATTTTAAAATTAGATTAGCTATGTCCTAGGATTTAGTATGGTCGATCATGCAAGTTAAAACGAGTCTTTAAGATTTGTTAGACCAGCGGTTGTTCTCCAAATTTCACAGCGAACAAATTGGCACGCTCAATGGGACAGTGCTAATCAGAGTTTCTTGTTAAAAAAAATTTTTTTACAGACCTCTGCGTAAAGTTTTCATTGTATGCAGTTAAGAAGTGATAAGATAACCACTAATAACAAAACTCGAACTAAGAAAGGATATACCAGGAGAATGACGTCGAATACAAATCAGCCAAACACTCCTCAGGATTCATACAATGGTAAGGATAACACGGAGCCTCCCATGCTACCTTCGACAGAGGGGCAAGCGGGTTCTTTTCCTATTTCTAAAGTGGTTCCGACAATGGGGACTTCGATGCCTACGCATTCGATTACTCATACGCAACCAATTTTAACTTACATTGGGCCAAGAGGCCCTCCATATACCCTACCTCCTGTAGGAACTTCCACGTATAGGAATATTTCCCCACCAGGGTTTTCGATGCCTTTGCCGCGAAAACCCTAAACCCTAAACCCATGCCAACATCAGTAATGGCAAGCCTCCATAACACCCCTCATGTACACGTAAAATGGGTGATAACCTTACCATTACAAGGGTCAGCATCTGGAATGAATGTGGGTCGAAACAACCAAAATGTAGGATACTCTCTCCCAACACATAACCTAACAATTGGTTTTGCCTCTTATTTGAGGCAACAAATGGATGAAAGTAACCACCAGATGGTACAAATGATGTCCCAAACTATGGGAGAAATATTTCATCCCCTTACCCAAAACACTACCCAAACTAACTAACGACTGGCAGCGCAAATGACGCGTTTAGTTGATTTCTTTGGGGTACCAAATCCTCCTCGACACCCACAAAGAGAGCATGTGAGAGAAAACCAAGGTTTATCCTTCGAAGAGGACCTCAATATTAACCAAGCCCAACAACACCTAGGGAACATATGTAAGTTCAGAGTATGCCTAAGAGGGGGGTGAATTAGGCTTTAGAAACTTTTTCCGGTTTTTCGATATTCTTGAATTTTACTTGGTTATGATCTTGATGATGAAAGCAGTAAAAGCAGAATGAAAATGGACACAGAGATTTATAGTGGTTCCCTTTATAATCCGAAGGTACTTCACTTCCCTTTCCACATGAAAGAGAGTTTTCACTATAGTTTTAGAATGTACAACCTATCACACCATCAACCGGTGATGCCTACTATCTAACAACTATTTCAACAACTTAGTATGCAAGAACAATCCTCTTGCAAGCACTAACCCTTGTGTCCAACAATCCTGGATCACAAGTCACAAAGAAGTAATTCTTGTAATTTGGTAATTTGAGAGTGATACAATAATAATATCAATACAAAGATTGATTTTCTCCTTTTGATCAAAATTCACTTTTCAATATCAATACAAGTGTTCAAAAATTCTGGATATGAAATGGTATGAACAGTATGAACACTTTTTGAAAATATTTGAAAATATTTGAAAAGTAGTGAATTTGATTTAATGATTATTTTGAAAATTATTGGAGGTGTTTTTCAATTTGAAATTTTCAGAATTTATATGAGTCAAAACATCATTTCAAAAAGGTATAATTGAGTATGAATCAAATAATGAAAAGGTATAACATTCAAACAAGATTTGAATTTAAAAAGAAACAATTTTTCAAAATTCGTTCAGTGTTAATCGGTTAACCATATAGGTTAATCGGTTAACACTTGAACGTTAGCCCTGAGAATTCAAATTTTGAGGCCGTTAACCGATTAACCCATATGGTTAATCGGTTAACACTGTTAAAACTCAGAAAAATACTTGAGTTAAAAAGTGTTATACCAATTCAAATGATTTTAAAACCGTGCATATGCAAAATATTGATATGATAAATTATTTGAACACTTGTATATCAATTAAAGGAGTGAATATTGATATACCGAAGCTTTGAGTCCAAATCTTGAAAGTTGTAGAATTATTTGCACATGATGCTTGATTTGCTTGACAACATTCCATAGTCTTTATCTTGATCAGTTTTGAAAGCTTTGACTTTTTGCAATCATGGAATGAGCTTAGGTCTTTGTTGACATCATCAAAACCTTGAGATTGAAGTGTGCTTCTACATTCTCCCCCTTTTTGATGATGACAAACAATTGTGTCTGTGCGATATCCTTGACGATGTTTGGTTCCAATATTGGCTTGCTTCTCCCCCTATGTTCAGCAACTCCCCCTATCTAAACAAAGGCAAAAATTCTGCACAGAGAGATATTAGACAGCCAAGCTCTTCCCCCCTTTGTCATTAGGAAAAAGGAAGGAGCTTTCAAAACCAAAAAACAAGCAATATCTGCATACAAGACATCATATGATCAAGCACAGCATAATAGATCGAAATAAAAATACAGCACATAGAAAATGCAGCAAATATTGTACGGTTACACGAGAAATTAACAACTTAAACAACTTAAATAATATCCGGAAAGAAAAGTAATAAAAAGCAACAGAAACAAATATTTTCTAAACATCTTTATCGGACATATCCTCGTCTTCTGCTTCCTCTTCGGATAGAGATTTGGATGTTTAAGAAAATATTTACCACACATAAATAACACATTTACCACACTTAATTTTCCAAAATTTGAATTAATTTTTCGTTTCTGATTTTTGAACATTTTAACAGTGTTAATCGGTTAACCATATAGGTTAATCGGTTAACACATTAAAAAATTAATTTCAAAAATAAAAAGTATCAGTGTTAATCAGTTAACCATATAGGTTAATCGGTTAACACATTAAAAATTAAGTCAGAATTGAAAAATTAACAGTGTTAATCGGTTAACCCTATAGGTTAATCGATTAACACACGCGATTTTTGGAAAAAATGCTTAAAACAGAATGCACAGACATTGGAAAACATACATTATGCATACATAAACCAGAGAAAAGATCAGATATCACCTTCATCGAG